AATAATTCAGGATGAAACTTTGGCGAATGCAGGGTTTGCTGTGAGCAGACCCGCACTTAGCTACTTCAGCCATTAAGGGCCACAGTCACTGTATGATCTGATTCAGGAACACAGTTCAGAGTCCATTCCCTCAAGTCTTTCAACAGCACCCGGGTTTCTTGGAGTGGCAGGGGATGACAACATAAACAGGAGATCAATATGAAGGCAAACCAACAAACTTGGCAAATCTTCAAAGGACAGAAGCCCTTGTCTAATCAATAGTCCTTTTGAAGATTCTTTCCCCTTCACCCAATCAAAACTGAACTTTGGATAAACCTAACTTTTTAACCATTGCTCATCTCCATTCCTCTGACTAGACAAAAGCATAGAACAGAATGATGGTCGTGGACACTAGCAAAACTCTTCACCAAGACCCTCAAAGGACATCTCTGCTGCCCAGTGGTTCTGTCTCCCCTATCTAATCATTGCCTCACTCTCTTGACTCCTCTCTCTTCTCCTTTACCGTCCTTCCACTCAGCTGATCACCAAGAACACAGGTGCACTTGGAGGAAAGTTCTGACTATTTTTGCTTGTCCTCTCCACAGGAATATTAAAGAAAGGGCCACAAATATTCCCAGGGACTCAAGAATATCCACAGGAATATTCTCGGTTTAACTTTTGGTTGAGGGAAAAAAAAAACAGAAAAGAGTAATATTAGAAGAATAAGATATTCCTATAGAGATCATGAGAAAAAGTTTGTATTAGGTAACTCTGAGGCCAAAAGAGGGACCAAAGGCAACATCACTAATTTTTATTCAATATTCTAAACCCAAGTAATTTTAATATTGTGGTACTTATAATGAAATTGCATGTTTTACTTATCCAAAACTATCATTTCTGCATTTGCCATTAAAATAAAATCATACACTATTTTATAAAGCTTCCAAAAATGCTCTCCCATCCCCATATCACTAGCTTCAGAGATATAGTAGGATGATGACTTAATGGTATAAATATTTCATGTCTTTTGAATTTTTCATGTTAAATGTACAGTTCACATGAATAATAGAAATAGTTCATATGCAGCATTCATAGTTGCATTACACAATGCTTTTTCAGTAATCTGTTATGTATTGGGAAGGCATACAGGAGTCTCAGGAAAAAAAAAAATCTTTTAAAATTAGCCCATCTTCTAGAATTTCTGGCACTAGAAAAAGATATTTTATACCAGAACTGTTCACAGGATTTTGATTTGCATACTTATTGAACTCATTGCTCAACAATCAACTGGTCTGACTTGTCTGGAGTTACTCAAAAAATAATTTGTAAAAGTAGAATGGAAGAATGGAGAAGCATTCATTTCAGAAGTAAAAGCTCAGCCAGCTTAAAATTGTGTCATAAATTTCATAAAGTAATTTTTTCTCATTTATTTATTTTATTCACTTGGCATCCTTGTAGCGCCTTCCCGCCTCCCCTCCCAGTTCCACCCTCTCTCCCTCCTTCATCCCCCATTCCCTTCTCCTCAGAAGAGGGGAGCTCCCTTTCCCATCCACCCCAGTCGCATTAGGACTGAAAGCGTCCCCTTTTCCTGTGGCCTATCAAGGCAGTCTTGCCAGAGGAAGGTGATCTAAAAGCTAGCAAGTGAGTCCCTGTCTGATTTAGTCCCCATTTCCCATTCTAGAGTACCCACTTGAAACCTCAGCTGCCCATCTGCTACATCTTTGTAAGGGGTCTAGGTACAGGTCATGCATTTTAAAAATCTTCTAATATAAATATATGTATATTTGGGGGTAAAACATGATATAAAAACTCTTCACTCAAGTGCCGTTCATGTGTGAAGGCACCAATTGTTGTTGTTGTTGTTCATTAACTTTTAAATTTTTTATTTAATTTATATATTTATTTATTACAGTTTATTCACTTTGCATCCCCGCTGCAGCCTTGTCTCCTCCCAGTCCTACCCACCCTCCCTCTTCTTCCCCAATGCCCTTTCCCTAGTCCCCTGATAGAGGAAGACCTCCTCCTCTTCCATCTGACCCTAGCCTATCAGGTCTCATCAGAGCTGGCTGCATCATCTTCCTCTGTGGCCTCCAGAGGGAGGTGATCAAAGAGCCAGCCACCACATATCAATTTTTTACCTTTTATTTTTTAAATACCTTGCCCAAAGATAGAGCTCACTGTCAGCCATAAGGTTCTCACTGATGTTCCTTATGAAAATAAGATCATCCTCCTGTTCTTACTTTTCTAGGGATTTTTTTTAAGCATGAATCAGAGTTGAATTTTTCAAATGCTTTTTTATGGATGAGTGCTGAGTTTTTTCAAATACCTTTTTCTATGCCAACTGACAGGGTCATATGCTTTTTCTTTACCACCTGACTGATGGGATGGATTTGGGAATTGTTTTCTGAAGATTGAGTCCATTTGGTTTTCATGCCTAATTCTCCTTATACTTTATGTATTCGGTTTTATGGATTATTTTATGTTCAGGGTGAAAAAATTTCATCTATTACTTTCTTTTTCTGGAATGTCCGGGTTTGATATCAGAGTGGCAGCTGGCCTTATCACATAAGCTGGGAGACATCCCTCTGCTTCTGTGTCCTGGAAGACACGTAGAGAATGTGCAGTTCTCCTGCAGGCAACCTCAGCTGCTGTGGGTCCATGTGCACAGCAGCCATGGCACGTGAGGAAGACAGCAGGCCTCCTCCCCACCCACCAGCTCTTACGTTCTGTTCTTTCTGCCTCTTCTTCCTACTTGCCTCTAGAGACTTGCTGAGTTAGGAGGGTGGTTAGGATGGCCCGTTTAGGGATGAGAATGGAGGTGGGCATTTCTGAAAAGGGGAGAGGAATTGGAAGAGGGGAACAGGGGTGGCTATGATCATATTTCATTATATACGTGTGTGAAATCCTGAAGAAAGAAAAGGAGGAGTATCTTCCTTCAGTGTTTATTAGGGTCTGCTGATGAAACTATTCATACTTTCAATTTCCTTAGTTTGGGTCAACTCTTTTCTGCTTAAGTATTTAATGGTGACAGGGAAATTAAGATTTTTCTGTTTCTCCCCTCACCTAGTGAGTTTCAAGAGATTGCTCTATTTCTTCTAAGTCATCAGTGATGACCACAGGGTAGTACTGTCCAGGCTTCAGTAACCACAGGATAAGCAGATGTAGAGATTTCATTTCCTGTATTGGCAATTTGTGTCTTCCCTCTTTTCCATCTTTATTCTTAATTAACCAGAGGTGGAGATTTATTAGCTATAACAGTATTCTTGTTATAAAAATTAGCCTTGAATTTTGGTGAGTTTCTCCTGAAGTTGTCCTGTTTTACAGTGATTGCTCCCATATAATTTAAGGTGTCTTCACCTTGCTTTGGTTTAAAATTCACTTCTTTGTCTAGCTTCCTATCATGAAAACTAGATTGCTGTGATTTTTTTAGTCAGTTTCCTTTGTAATACATGCATCTAATAATACATATTTTTCTCGAAGCACTGCCTTTATTCTCTTTCACAAATTTGAAAAAGCTAAAAATTTTTTTTTAGTTTAAAATATTTTAACAAGATTTTTCTGACTCATGGGTTGTTTAGAAATGTGTTTTTTAACTTCCAAATTGTTGGAGTTTTTTGACACATCTTTCAGTTATTGAGTTTTAATTTATATTTATGATTGTGAGCCTAGCCTTTAATGGCTGAGCCCTTCCATTATAGTCTGAGAAACATATTGAAAGGTATCTATTTATTTAAATTGGTCAAGATTTTTTATGTTTCAGAAGATAGTATCCATAGTGGGAGTTCCATATACAATTGGGAAAAAAAATATCTTTCCTAGCCATTGTCTGAAGCATCATGAGGTTTCAAAGAAATAAATCAACATTAGGTGCAAAGATGATTAGAAGTTCATATTTTTTAAAAGTAGTATTAGCTGGTTGTGATTATGCGCCTAATTCCAGCATTTGGATGACTAAGGCAAGAGAATACTGAAATGCAGGTCTGCCTAGGTCATACTATAAGATGAGAGAGAGAAAAAAAAAGATACAGACAGACACAGACAAGAGAGAGGTGAGGGTTAGGGAGAGAGACAGAGCGAGCTCTGGTCCCTAAATTGAATATTTTACTTGCTCTTCAAGAAAATGATTTCATAGGGTCTAGAATTTCAGAGACACATATAAATTAATTTGTTCAGTCATATTTTCAATAGTTGGCACCGTATAATGTTTCTTCTTTTAATTTGATACTAACAAAAATGTGCATAGATGCAATATTAAGTATTTAGACTCACCTGCAAGGGATAAATTAATATGATTTTCTGTAATTGTGGTTGCAGTTGGAAAGCTGAAAGCTCTGTGCTGTTTTTTTCAGAAGGAAGGGGAGGGAAGGTTTGCCAAAAGCATAAAGGCAGGCATTTCCTTTTGGTCTCCTAAGAGGTTCTTTACAAAATAACATTTCATAAAACCCATTTCTAAATGAATGTTAAAGTCTTCATTTATATGACACCAGCTTGTAATTTAAAACCAAATGGAGAAAATAAATTGGGACCAAATTACATGGAAACGAGGTAAAAGCTCTCTAGGTTTGCACAGCCGCATCTCTGGATGCTGCAGTCAATAACGCCCCACTTGGGAGTATTGCGTTGGGCCAGACGCTGTCTTTATGACAAAAGTCTACAAGATCCACTCAGGAGAACGTACAACTGAATAAATAGAGGCCAACAAATAAACTAAATGTAATCAACCGGGAGGACACAATCGGTTGGAGGAAGCAGCGCCATCAAATTATTAACAGCTCTCTGGTAGCACCTCAGAGAAATCAGTTCTGGCTACGTGTAACCCTTTCGTTCTAAAGCGCTCTCGGGCGCTCGGTACTGGGTGCTGAAATGCCAACTAGGCTGCTCCGAAGTTGACCTTGCTCTACGGAACTCCTCCCTACATTTCACTAGGTAGAGTGTGGAGTAAACACGGGGGCCCTGAAAGGATGAGGCCTATAAAAGGCCACCAAGTGTCTCACGCACAGAAACTCCTCTTGGGAAATTACCTTTCGTTGAGTCATCCTCTATGGGCTGCTTGAACAGTGTAATATCCTTGAAGGTACACAGGAACAACACCACCTTCTCATGTTCGTTCCTTATTGGTGCGATTTGCATGTAAAACCAAACAGGGGTTCCTGTGGTGGAAAAAAGACACGGAGGGGAGAAAGAGTGGAGCGTCAGGGTCACAGCAAGGATTAGCTTTCCTGTCCCAGGCTCCCTCCCTCCCCCTTGCTTCAGCTGCTTCAGCACAAAAACAATAATTGTGTTACTTGAATAAATAAAATGCTTTAACCAGAGCTTCTGGTACAGGACTATGATCCAAGCTACTGAGCAGGCTGAGGCAGGAGGATCACAAAGTCAAGGATTGCCTGGACTAGAGCGAGAGCTCAAGGCCAGACTGAGCAACACTGGAAGACCCTGTCTTAAAAAATAATTAAAAGTACAGTTTTCACAAGGGCTGGGAATGTAGTTCAGTGATGGAATGCTTGTATTGTGTACATGAGACCTTGGACTCAATTCTCAATATAAAACAACAGCAACAAGAACTATTTCTATCAACTACCAGTTGTTCAGATTCAATGAGTGTATTTTTAGCCCCAGATATGAACATTCTAAAGGACAGTACAGTCTCTCCCTAACCTGTGCACACAAAGGCAGTCTTGCTACTAAAGTATCACCTTTAGGTCTGGGTCCTGAGGCCTCTGAGGCTCTCCCAGACTTCATTCTGACAAACTCACCGAGTGTGATCACTCCTACATGCCTCTCTGGTCTTGTCACTTTTTGACAAGTGTTTCCAATTAGCTCCAACGGCAGCACCTACTGCCCTGACAAGACCAGCTCCTAGACGTCTAAAAGACAGCTTTCTTCAGCCGGCTCTTTCTTCAGCCGGATGGACTTATGTGACACCTTAATGACTTTGCCTGTGTCCTCAATCACAGGAGACATCAACAACACTTGATACCTACTGTATACAGAGTGCTACCTGAAACCCTCAGGGCAGGGTTAAAAGAGAAATAAAAAGAGCACATGTGTTCAAAGCTTGAGAATCGCCTGTGTCTTTGCAAGCCTCTGCCTCCTGCCCCTTGAGGCTTAACTCTGCCACATCATTCTTCAAGTAACAGCTACTGCACTCTCCGGAGGGACGAGGGTTTCAGAGTTTTAAAGCTCAGGGTCTAAACAGACCCAGGAACTGACAGATTGCAGAGAAGGAATAGACGAAGGCATGAGAAATAACCTCAAGAGAATAATTATCCACCAATTGGCACTGAAGAAAGGTTCTATCACAATAAAAAACAAGTAAGATAGATAGATGGTTGGATTGCTGGGTGAGTGGGTGGATGATAGACAGACAGATAGATAGATAGATAGATAGATAGATAGATAGATAGATAGATAGATAGATGGATGACTAAATTTTCTATTATATTATTAGCAAACAAAAGTGCAATAAAGCCCATCAAAATGTTGATCCTTAGGGACAGAAAGGGTTTGTGAGGTTCAGGATTTGGAGAGTAGATGTGTGGTTAGTGGTTCCCAATGAAAACCAAATAACAGGGTCCTTCAGACCTCAGTCCAAAACTGCATCACCCAGTGCTATTTCCGGTTCTCTTTAAACGCCATGCCGTAATAACAGTGCTCTTAAATTAACCGATAAACTTGGGGACTCTGTCTAAGCCATACGAGGGCTAGCTTGTCATTTAGACAGGAGGAGTTGAGTCACTCAGCAAGCTCAAGAAGCCAGAGCACTGCAGAGAGAGTTACAGAGTAATGTTCAGCTCTGGCCGCTGAGTCTTGTGCGGCCGCTCCAGCAGGTCCACGGAAGGACACAGCCCCTTCTGAGATAATTGCAGAATGTGATAGGGACCTGGAAACAATTGCATCACCTCGCAGCCAGGCTGCCTCCCTGTTTCCTGCTCATTGTTTTACACAGTGTGTCTGGGAACTGTGAGTGATGTGCAGTTTTACAAATCGCCATGGCCAGACACTGCTGTGTTCATGGCCTGTGGCTGTTCCAGCATGGTGAGGTAGAGGCAGAGGGGTCATAAACAAAGAGAAAGGAGCACTGAAAATCCTTTTCTTTTCCTGGGGCCTGCTAGAAACCTGAACAGAAGGTGCTGTTGTCACATCCTTGCCTTCCTATGGAAACAGCCACTTTATAAATTCTGGCAGAGACCAGGCTGTCTGAAAAGCTCTTCTTAAATATCACGGTAGAATTTTTTCCAGCTCATAGACTCAGACTTCCCCCAGAACGGGCTGAATACTTTCGAGAAACTGTAAAATATCCTTTCTAGTCTAGTTTTAAGGGTCAGAGATAGACAGGGAGACTGAGAAGGAGGGACTGAGGTGCATTCCTGCCCAGCACTTGGAACAGGGCCTGGGCACTAAGAAAATAATTGGGCTCTGTTTTTGCCCCAGAGATACTAAACTTTCCCTAGAATAGGAAAGTCTCCTTTTAATGGGGCACTAGATGGGATAAAAGAGAAAATAAATAAAAGATTATAAACTGAAGTGTCAGTCACGACTGAGAAAATCAGAAACCTCAACAGCCTCATTTGCAAAATGGCATTTACCCTAACATAATTATTTGACAGAAATCTTGGAGACCTTGGTATTCAGACATTCCCCAAACAAGCTTCTACAGATATGTCGATTTGTCCATCTAATATTTTTCAAAGTCACAAAACACACTTTTTGCAGTTGGTGGGCAAAAGCTGTTTGAGACAACCACTTACAAAGAGCCCTTAAAATCTGGCTGAAATACTTGTATTCTGCCCTAATGCCTGGTTAATTCTTCCCTTTCTGTTAAAGGAAAATCAGAATTAATAATGGACTCAGAGAGCACAGAGAGGAGGGCTGGAGGGCCTGGCTTCTACCAGCCATACACACATGCTTATGTGTCAATATACTGTCCCTGACGGAGACAGACTTGAACAAAAGTCGCATAATAATATCAAACCATGAGCACAAGGTAAAATATCTCAACATTCTGGAAGGAGAATTCTAGAGATATAACATATTAGCAATATGTTTATTTAAGGTAAATAAACAAAACAGAATCCAATTAAGGTACTTTTGACAAACTCATACTTATGGACTTGGCCATAATGTCTGAAAATGCAGCAAATACTTGTTAATTCTGCTTAAATGCCAGGCTAAATAATCTTCAATTATTTGCTAAACTTAGGCCATATATCTAAGTCATCCTATGACCAAAAATATCTATATGAAAATGAAAAGGGCTTGGGCATTTGAGCATCCTATGAATCATAAATAAATATTTGGGCCTGAGGGGAAGACCCAGAAAAGATCTACAGCCTCAACAGCAGGAAGAAATGATCACTCAGAACTGATTGTTTTCTGTGTGACAAGCTGGCAGCTGAGTGAGACTTCAAACAGAACATCTCTGTGGCCTTGACTCTAAAATGCAAGATAAAATGGAAAGTTTTGATAAGTAAAACCACGAAGGATAATGCTCCTATCACCAAATGCACTGCTCTGAGGCAGCGTCTGTGGCTATCCTTTTGTGGGGTCTAGTGCTAAAAAAGAAAATTTAATCTTAATTCCACATATTCCATAAAGAATGACAAATTGAAAAAAAGGGAAGGATAAATTGTGCACCACAAGGTCCAATGTATATTGAACCTAAAACAAATGTGTCCTGCTGAGATTAGAATGTCTCCCACACTTAAGCACACTATAGTAAAAGATAAGTATGGATTTTGCTATTATCGACCATGAAAGCATGTGTGCGCATACACACACATTTTTAATATACATTTTATTGAATAATTATAGTTACACTACATTCTAATCTCAGCTTCTCCTCTCCCAACACCACCCATCTTCTCCCCACCTCCATACCCACCCAGCTCCCTCCCCTCTCTCTAGAAAACAAACAGGGAAACAAACAACAACAACCCAAGCCAAAACTTTTTCAAAAAAAAAGAAAAATCACAAGAAACACACATGTACATGCACACAAATAAAGCCATTAAAAAATACAAAATCAGAAATAATAGTATTCAAGCAAAAGATCAATAAGTCAAAATATGCCAAAAGCAAAGCAATATACAGCAAAACGTCTACAAAAATACCATTAGGTTTGTTTTGTGTAGACCATCTGGGCACGGGCTCTGCCCATAAGCGTGATTAATACACCCAGTGAGACTACATTAGAGAAAACAGTTTTTTCTTTGCATGCAGATGTCCTTTGGAGATGGCTCCTTGCTAAGGATTATGTAGGGACTTGTCATATCAAGAAGAAGAAAAGAAAAAGAAACAGAAACAAAAAAAGAAAAAAAGGTCACATGACTATGCAATGCAGCCACCAAGAAAATGTGGTTGTGGCACAAAAACCCTGTAGTGGTAGTTGGTGGTTGGTTGGTTAGTTGGTTGGTTGGTTGTTGGTTGTTGGTTGGTTGGTTGGTTGTTGGTTGGTGGTTGGTTGGTTGGTTGGTTGTTGGTTGGTTGGTGGTTGGTTGTTGGTTGGTGATAGGTGGTTGGTGGTTGGTTGGTGATTGGTAGGTTGGTTGGTTGGTTGGTTGGTGGTTGGTTGGTGGTTAGTTGGTTGGTTGGTGGTTGGTTGGTGGTTTTTTGGTTGGTTGGTGGTTGGTGGTTGGTTGGTGATTGGTTGGTTGGTTGGTGGTTGGTGGTTGGTTGGTGGTTGGTTGGTTGGTTGGTTGGTGGTTGATTGATTGGTGGTTGGTTGGTTGGTTGGTTGGTTGGTGGTTGGTTGGTTGGTGGTTGGTTGGTGATTGGTTGGTTGGTGATTGGTTGGTTGGTTAATTTTTTTCCCACACAGTGGCTGTCTTATGAGGTTCTATGTGATGACATACTTGGCAGTTGACTCTGTACAATTCTAATCCTAGAGAATAATTCACAACAGTCTGCAGATGTTTAGCAGATGTGAATGGCCTGTTCTGAGGGAAAGGCCTATGCCCATTGCTCTTCCATGGGGGACAGTTAAAGTCTAGCTAACAGCTAAATTTGTAAAGACTGACATCAAAGAACCACATATCAACTTCACCGATATCTGTGTAGTAACCATAAAGAGAGACTCCTGTGGTACTGCAATTGTGAACAATACAAACAGTAGAGAAAGCCTACCCAGAGAATGAATTATAAGATTTTTAAACAGAGCCACCATATAATATAGCAGTCCGGTTCTGGGTATTTAACCAAAAGATTTGAAATCTATGAAACAAAAGGATATCTGCATTCTCATGTCCATTGCACTACAATTCACAATAACCAATTTTATAATTGACATAAATGTCAATATGAGCTGATAAAAAAATGAAATATGTATACAGAGTGAATACTGTCCGGCCTTCAAAAGAATTTCTTGGGATGGGGAGCTGACTCGGTGGGTAAGAATGCTGGCTGAGCCAGCATTCTTAGGTAAGGACCTAAGTGTACACCCCAGAACTCACAGAAAAAGCCAAGTAGAGTTGTTTGTGCTAATAATCCCAGAATGGGGTGAAACAGGGGAGAAGGGAGGGTCAGAGAAAGGAGGACGAATGGGTTTGCTCACTAACTAGTCCATCTGTAAGAAGCTGTGTGAGACCTCATCTCTAAGGAATATAGCAGAAGTTAGTAGAAGACACCTAACTTCCTCTACTGGCCTCCATATCTATGGACCCCACACACGTACATCTGCATATACAATACACATATACACAGAGAGAAGGAGAGTTTGTATGCATTTATGATATTTGCAGCAACATGGAAAGAATACAAGAACACAATACTAAGTACTAAGTAGGTTAGGCAGGCATACAAGACCAGTACAAAGCATGTGCTCATTTTGATTGGAACTAAATCGTTTACACCCTTATCAGACAGCAGAGCTTCTCAGCTGTAGGGTTGGAGCAGGTGTGAAGAAGAGACGGTCTAGGAATGCAAAGTCTGTGTGACGCGAGAGAAAGGTGAGATGTATTAGGCAGCATGGTGAACAGGGTTAATAATCGTAGCATACTGCAGACACCAAAGCTGCCAAAGAGAGTGATTTCCAATACTCTTTTAAAAAGTAGATATTTGAAATTGTGAATGTTTGTTTGATTTGAGCATTCATATTGTACTGCTAAGCTACGGTATTGCTTTGCATCCAATAAATATGGACAACCATAATGTTTAAAATAAAAATGGGGGGCTGAAGAGATGGATCAGCGGTTGAGGGCTCTTGTTGCTCTTGCAGAAGACCTGCGTTCAGTTCCCAGCACCCCCATGGCAGCTCACAACCATCTGCACCTCCAGGCCTTCGAGATCTGACACCTTCTGACATCTTCTGACCTTAGCTGTCACCAAGCACGCATACGGTACATGTACATACGTGCAGGCAAAAATTGGTGCACATAACATATTTTTAATGAAATAAAAAATAAAATAAAATTGTAAAAGTAAGATAAAAAATATACCATGCTTGTTTCCATCCTTCAAGAGGATCATTTCACAGACAAAATTGTTATTAATTTTCCTTTATAATCTCCCCAACACTTCTTCCCCCTACACCAAGAGTGATAATATAGCATTGTCTCTTTCCTGCCTTGTTGCTTAGCTACCATTTCCTGAACTCTAACATTTAGAAAGACCTGGGTCATCTCATTGCCAACAGAAATACCTACGGTTTTTTTTGTACAGAAGAACTTCAAAGCAGTTTGACTCGTAGTTGTCAAACGTCTGCCTGACTTTCTCAATGGTCTTCTTGTCAGTCAGTTCTCCATACATAAAACTGAAAGAAAGAAAAAAAGGTCTGTTTCGTTTTTCTGTCACTTTTAAACTATTACATACCACACAACAGTTTAGGATTAAATCTTTCGTTTTGTGTGAAGTGATATCCCCACGCATTGAACTAAAACATGTAAGCCATCATTTCAGCGAACTTTAATGTGTACATTGGAAGTCACCAATGTGTAGTAACGTACGTACAGGCAGAAGAATGTTAAACTGGGTTTTTAATCTCTGTTGCTGAAACTTCTTGCTGACCGTTAGCTTTGGAAATTATTTCACTTGTAGAGTACAACAGAGAGGCAGAGAGAGGGGCTCTGCATTGTGAACAGTTTCTAGGTGCACAAATTTCAATTACCATGCTTCCATCGAACACATTTCACACCAGCACTGTTTGAATCTCAGCTGCCATGGTATGTCGACTGTAACGGCATGAAACGCAAACCAGGGAAAAGCACTGACTGGTGCAGCCACACCCCTTACCCGTTGTTTCGCTTTCTCTGCTTTCAAATGGTCAGGCATGATCCAAAACTATTAAATGAAACATTCTAGAATACAGTGTTCGAAAGTTTAAAATTATGTGTCATTCTAAACAGCATGATGAAAGCTCTTGCTATCTGTCTCCACATCTCTGTACCACCTCACTCCCTGCTCAAGGTATCCAAACTCTATATGAGTCCGTCCCTCTCCAGGCTACCCAGTAGGTCTCTTAACCACTGTCTCAGTTAACAAATCAGCCACTTTAGTTAGACAGTGTGTATATTCTAGTAACCATTATTTTTCTTAATTAACAGTCCCAAAATACAATAATAGTGACTATGAAATTCAGACTTTTTTAAAGAGAGGTTGTAAAAATACTTCTTTAGTTGAAATTAAAAGTACAAATGAGGTAATATCAACATCCCTGATCTCAAGCTGTACTACAGAGAAATAGTAATAAAAAATTGCATGGTGCTGGCATAGAAACAGACAGGTCGATCAATGGAACCAAACTGAGACCCAGAAATAAACCTATACTCCTATGGGTACTTGATTTTTGACAAAGAAGCCAAAACCATACAATGGAGAAAAGATAGCATCTTCAACAAATAGTGCTGGTCTAACTGGATGTCTACATGTAGAAAAATGCTTTCTCAGACAATTATAATAGTGCTACCTCAAGATCCAGCTATACCACTCCTAGGCATATGTCCAAAATATGATCATGTATACAACAAGGACATTTGCTCAACCATGTTCATAGCAGCTTTATTCTTTTTTAATTTAATTTTATTTTATTAATTACACTTTATTCACTTTGTTCCCCTCATAAGCCCCTCCCTCCTCCCCTCCCGATTCCACCCTCCCTCCCCCTTCTTCACACTTGCCCCTCCCCAAATTCACTGATAAGGGAGGTCCTCCTCTCCTTCCTTCTGATCTTAGTCTATCAGATCACATCAGGAGTGGCTGCATTGTCATCTTTTGTGGCCTGGTAAGGCTGCTCCCCCCTCAAGGGAAGGTGATCAAAGAACAGGCCAATCAGATTATGTCAGAGGCAGTCCCTCTTCCCATTACTATGTAACCCACTTGGACACTAAATTGCGATGGGCTACATCTGTGCAGGGGTTCTAGGTAATTGCCATGCCTGGTACTTGGTTGGAGTATGAGTCTCTGGGAAGACCCTTGTGTTCAAATTTTCTGGTTCTGTTGCTCTCCTTGTGGGGTTCCTGTCCTCTCTAGATCTTACTGTTTCTCACTTCTTACATAAGATTCCACAGTTGGCCATAAGTCTCAGCGTCTGCTTTGATATTCTGAAGGGCAGAGCCTTTCAGAGGCCCTCTGTGGCAGGTTCCTAGGTTGTTTCCTCTTTTCTTCTTCTTCTGATGTCCATCCTCTTTGCCTATCAGGATGGGGATTGAGTGTTTTAGTCAGGGTCCTCTCTCTTGATTAGTTTCTTTAGATGTACAGATTTTAGTAGGTTTATCCTATGTTATATGTCTATATGAGTTATATATCTATACCATGTGTGTCTTTCTGCTTCTGGGACAGCTCACTCAGGATGATCCTTTCCAGGTCCCACCATTTACCTGCAAATCTCATGATTTCCTTATTTTTCATTGCTGAGTAATACTCCATTGTATAGATGTACACAATTTCTGCATCCATTCTTCAGTTGAGGGGCATCTGGGCTGTTTCCAGCTTCTGGCTATTACATATAAAGCTGCTACAAACACGGTTGAGCAAATGTCCTTATTGTGTACTTGAACGTCTTTTGGATATATGCCTAGGAGTGGTATGGCTGGATCTTGAGGAAGCGCTATTCCTAGTTGTCTGAGAAAGTGCCAGATTGATTTCCAGAGTGGAAATCTTATTCTTAACAGACAGAATCTGGAAACAACTCAGATGTCCCTCAATTGAGGAATGGATACAGAAACTGTGGTATATTTATACAATGAAATACTACTCAGCAATTAAAAACAAGGAAATCATGAAATTTGCAGTCAAATGGTGAGAACTAGAAAAGATCGTCCTGAGTGAGGTATCCCAGAAGCAGAAAGACACACATGGTATAAGCTCACTTAGAAGTGGATATTAAACATATAATATAGGATAGTCATACTAAAATCTGTACACCTAAAGAAGCTAAGCAAAAAGGAGGACCCTTGCTTGGTAAGATGCTCAATCCTCATTCAGAAAAGCAAAAGGGATAGACATTGGAAGAGAGAAAAAACAGGGAACAGGACAGAAGCCTACCATAGAGGACATCTGAAAGACTCTACCCACCATGGTATTAAAGCAGTGCTGAGACTCATAGCCAAACTCTGGGCAGAGTGCAAGGAGTCTTATGAAAGAAGGGGAAGTTAGAAAGACCTGGAGTGGACAGGATCTCCACAGGAGACCAACAGAACCAAAAGATCTGAGCCCAGAGGTATTTGCAAAAACCGATACTCCAACCAAGCACCATGCATGGAGATAACCCAGACCCCTTGCTCAGATATAACCCATGGCAGCTCAGTGTCCAAGTTTCCCTAGTAAGGGGAACAGGGACTCTCTAATGTGAACTCAGTGGCTGGCTCTTTGATCACCTCCTCCTGGGGAAAGGGGACAGCCTTACCAGGCCACAGAGGAAGACAATGCAGCCAGTCCTGATGAGACCTGATAGGCTAAGGTCAGAGGGAAGGGGAAGAGGACTTGCCCATCAGTGCACTTGGAAAGGATCATGGGAGGAGGTGAAAGGGAGGATAGGATTGGGAAGGAATGAGGAAGGGGGCTATAGCTGGAATACAAAGTGAATAAATTGTAACAAATTAAATTTTTAAAAAATAAAAAATAAAGGACAAATATATGAAGTAGAAAAAATCCAAATAGATCCGTACTTATTACCCTGTACAAAACTCAAAGTCAAGGTAGATCAAAGACCTTGACATAAAACCAGATACTCTAAACCTATTAGAAGACAAAGTGGGAAAAGTCTGGAACTCATTGGCATAGAAGACAACTTCCTGAACAGAACACCAATGACACAGGCTCTGAGATCAACAATTAATAAGTGGGAGCTCATGAAACTGAGAAGCTTCTGTAAATCAAAGGACACTGTCAATAGAACAAAATCTTCACCAACCCTACATCAGACAGAGGGCTGATATCTAAAATATACAAAGAACTTACAAAATTAAACACCAGCAAATCAAATAATCTAATTTTTAAAATGGGATACAGAGCTAAACTGAGAATTCACAACAGAAGAATATCAAATGGCTGAGCAGCACTTAAAGAAATGCTCGATGTCCTTAGCCATCAGAGAAATGCAAATCAAAACAACCCTAAGATTCCATCTTATGCCAGGCAGAATGGCCAAGATCAAAAGTTCAAGTGACAACACATGCTGCAGAGGATGTGGAGAAGGAGAACACTCTTCCATTTCTGATAGGAATGCAAACTTGTGCAACCTCTCTGGAAATCAATCTGGCGCTTTCTCAGAAAACTGGGAATAGTTCTACCTCAAGACCCAGCTTTACCACTCCTGAGCATATACCCAAAAGATGCTCTACCATACAACAAGGACAGTTGCTCAACTATGTTCATAGCAGTTTTATTCATAATAGCCAGAATCTGGAAACAACCTAGATGTCCCTCAACTGAAGAATGTATGTAGAAATTGTGGTACATTTACACAATGGAATACTACTCATTTATTAAAAACAAAGAAATCATGAAATTTGCAGGCAAATGGATGGAACTAGAAAAAAATCACTAAAAGTGAGGTAACCCAGACCCAGAAAGACACACATGGTGTGTAGTCATTTATAAGCAGATATTAGACCTACAGTTCAGGATAATCATATTACAATACACAGACCCAAAGAAGCTAAGTAACAAAGAGAGGCCAAAAGAAGGTAGCTGAATGTCACTCAGAAAAGAAAAGAAAATAGACAGCAAAACTGGATGAAGAGAGGGAACTAGGCAAGAGATGGAATGAGGAGGGAAACAAGAGTGAGGATCAGATGTGGGGAGAATGAAGGTAAGAGGTGGGAGGGCTAGGAACAAGAAAGGAAACTGGAGAGGGACACCTCTTGGACATGCTGGAGGCCTGCTACAAGGTAGGCTCCTGGAAGATACAGGTATGATTCTAGCAGAGACTCCTAATTGCGGGGGTGGGGGAACATATGAAGACTGAAGTGACCACCTCCTGGCCAGGCAGGACTAGTGGAAGGAGGGAATCAAGAACCCACCGACAAAACCTGTGAACCAAAAATTACCCTGCCTATAAGAAGTGAATGGATAACAAGGGAACAAAGATAGAGGGGAAAGTCCAAACAATAACTGGCCCAGCCTGAGATCCACTCCATGGTAAAGAGCCAGCCCTGACATTAATAATGATGCTCTGCTATGCTTGCAGACAGGAGCCTAACTTGGCTATTGTCTGGGAGGCTCCAGCCAGCAGCAGATCAGACAGATGCTGGGACTTGCAGCCAAGCATGGGGCGGAACTCTGGGGGTCCTGTGGAAATGTTGGGGGAAAGAT